TATTCGTTCCCACAGATGAATGTGTATTTATTAACAATATCATTAGTACTATATCTACATTAGATATGTAATGTACATTTAATAACAATATCCTTAGTACTATATCTACATTCGATATAATGTAATATAGTTATTCGTTCCCACAGATGAATGTGTATTTATTAACAATATCATTAGTAGTACATCTTCATTAGATATGTAATGTACATTTAATAACAATATCATTATTACCATATCTACATTAGATATAATGTAATATACTGATTCCTTCCCACACATCAATGTACATTTAATAACAATATCATTGGTACTATATCTACATTGAATATAACGTAATATGCTGATTCATTCCCACAGATCAATGTACATTTAATAACAGTATCATTAGTACTATATCTACAGTAGATATGTAATATACATCTACAAACAACGCCAGTATTATTATATCTCCGTTGTTCATAATGTAATAGACTGATTCCTTCCCACAGATCAATGTACATTTAATAACAATACCATTAGTACTATATCTACATTCGATATAATGTAATATATTGATTCATTCCAACAGATCAATGTACATTTAATAACAATATCATTATTACTATATCTACATTAGATATAATGTAATATACTTATTCGTTCCCACAGATGAATGTGTATTTAATAACAATATCATTATTACGATATCTACATTAGGTATAATGTAATATACTGATTCTTTCCCACAGATAAATGTACATTTAATAACAATATCATTGGTACTATATCTACATTGAATATAATGTAATATACTGATTCATTCTCACAGATCAGTGTACATTTAATAACAGTATCATTAGTACTATATCTACAGTAGATATGTAATATACATTTACAAACAATGCCAGTATTATTATATCTCCGTTGGACATAATGTAATATACTGATTCCTTCCCACAGATCAATGTGCATTTAAAAAGAATATCATTATTACCATATCTACATTAGATATAATGTAATATACTGATTCCTTCCCACAGATCAATGTACATTTAATAACAATATCATTGGTACTATATCTACATTGAATATAATGTAATATGCTGATTCATTCCCACAGATCAATGTACATTTAATAACAGTATCATTAGTACTATATCTACATTCGATATAATGTAATATATTGATTCATTCCAACAGATCAATGTACATTTAATAACAATATCATTAGTACTATATCTACATTAGATATAATGTAATATACTTATTCGTTCCCACAGATGAATGTGCATTTAGTAACATTATGATTAGTACTATATCTACATTAGATATGTAATGTACATTTAAAAACAATGCCAGTATTATTATATCTCCGTTGGACATAATGTAATATACTGATTCCTTCCCACACATCAATGTACATTTAATAACAATATCATTGGTACTATATCTACATTGAATATAATGTAATATGCTGATTCATTCCCACAGATCAATGTACATTTAATAACAGTATCATTAGTACTATATCTACATTCGATATAATGTAATATACTGATTCATTCCCACAGATCAATGTACATTTAATAACAATATCATTGGTACTATATCTACATTGAATATAATGTAATATGCTGACTCATTCCCACAGATCAATGTACATTTAATAACAATATCATTAGTACTATATCTACGGTAGATATGTAATATACATTTACAAACAATGCCAGTATTATTATATCTCCGTTGGACATAATGTAATATACTGATTCCTTCCCACAGATCAATGTGCATTTAAAAACAATATCATTATTACCATATCTACATTAGATATAATGTAATATACTGATTCCTTCCCACAGATCAATGTACATTTAATAACAATATCATTGGTACTATATCTACATTGAATATAATGTAATATGCTGATTCATTCCCACAGATCAATGTACATTTAATAACAGTATCATTAGTACTATATCTACATTCGATATAATGTAATATATTGATTCATTCCAACAGATCAATGTACATTTAATAACAATATCATTATTACTATATCTACATTAGATATAATGTAATATACTTATTCGTTCCCACAGATGAATATGCATTTAGTAACATTATGATTAGTACTATATCTACATTAGATATGTAATGTACATTTAAAAACAATGCCAGTATTATTATATCTCCGTTGGACATAATGTAAGATCCTGATTCCTTCCCACACATCAATGTACATTTAATAACAATATCATTGGTACTATATCTACATTGAATATAATGTAATATGCTGATTCATTCCCACAGATCAATGTACATTTAATAACAATATCATTGGTACTATATCTACATTGAATATAATGTAATATACTGATTCATTCTCACAGATCAGTGTACATTTAATAACAGTATCATTAGTACTATATCTACAGTAGATATGTAATATACATTTACAAACAATGCCAGTATTATTATATCTCCGTTGCACATAATGTAATATACTGATTCCTTCCCACAGATCAATGTGCATTTAAAAAGAATATCATTATTACCATATCTACATTAGGTATAATGTAATATACTGATTCTTTCCCACAGATCAATGTACATTGAATAATAATATCATTGGTACTATATCTACATTGAATATAATGTAATATGCTGATTCATTCCCACAGATCAATGTACATTTAATAACAGTATCATTAGTACTATATCTACATTCGATATAATGTAATATATTGATTCATTCGAACAGATCAATTTACATTTAATAACAATATCATTATTACTATATCTACATTGAATATAATGTAATATACTGATTCATTCCCACAGATCAATGTACATTTAATAACTATAACATTAGTACTATATCTGCAGTAGATATGTAATATACATTTACAAACAATGCCAGTATTATTATATCTCCGTTGGACATAATGTAATATACTGATTCCTTCCCACAGATCAATGTGCATTTAAAAACAATATCATTATTACCATATCTACATTAGATATAATGTAATATACTGATTCCTTCCCACAGATCAATGTACATTTAATAACAATATCATTGGTACTATATCTACATTGAATATAATGTAATATGCTGATTCATTCCCACAGATCAATGTACATTTAATAACAGTATCATTAGTACTATATCTACATTCGATATAATGTAATATATTGATTCATTCCAACAGATCAATGTACATTTAATAACAATATCATTATTACTATATCTACATTAGATATAATGTAATATACTTATTCGTTCCCACAGATCAATGTACATTTAATAACAATATCATTAGTACTATATCTACATTAGATATGTAATGTACATGTAATAACAATATCATTATTACCATATCTACATTAGGTATAATGTAATATACTGATTCTTTCCCACAGATCAATGTACATTCAATAACAATATCATTGGTACTATATCTTTTTTTTTTTTTTTTTTTTTTTTTTGGTTGACAGAAGAGGAAAATGCATTTACGCACGCGCAGGTTATCCCCTGTTCGTCTATTCGGCTAGAGGGGGCCCGGGCAGTGTGGGACTCATATCCCCTGAAGGGGGGCCTGGCGCCCATTTGGTGGGGGCAAACCCAAAGAGGCAACCCAGAAGGGGCAACCTGACAGCCCAACCCTGAAGGGCGAGCACAAAGGAAAAGGGTCACAGCCCAGAAGGGGCGACCCAGCGGCGCCCAGAAGGGGCGTCCGCGGCCTGATATACTACCCACTAAAAACCTCTTCCCTAACGTAGGCCGTCGGTACCCTTTCATCCTTTGGGGATATCCCAGATGTACCGACGATAGCCGCAACGGCGCTTCTGCTCCCTAGCTTACATTTGCGCTTTCGTCTCACCTCAATCCGCCGTGCGCTAGGCAACCACGGGGGGTTGAGCATCCACGCCGTCACACCTCCGATCTAGCGGTAGGATGTTTCAACCTGTACAAGAAAGCACAGGATTTTTCTTCGGCCACGATCAGGAACCGGAGGATTCCCACTCAACGGGTGATCGCGCCCCTACTTCACCTGCCTGCCATTAGCAAGGCCAGGAACTTTCTCTTCGGTCACGATCAGGACCCGGGACTTCGTATCTCCCGGTTGATCGCCCCAATCTTCGTCCACCATTGTAGGTTGATAATGAAGATGTGGCTTTTCCTTGCAGTCATCACGCCCACCTGTCCTTCCACGAGGACAGGCCATTTTTCTTCAACCACGATCGGCACCGGAGGACTTTCCCACTCATCGGGTGATCGGGCCGTGTGTTCAGCCTGCCTGGCACTTGCCAGGACAGGACTTTTTCTTCGGTCACGATCAGGACCCGGGACTTCGTATCTCCCGGTTGATCGCCCCAATCTTCGTCCACCATGGTAGGTTGATAATGAAGATGTGGCTTTTCCTAGCAGTCATCACGCCCACCTGTCCTACCACAAGGACAGGCCATTTTTCTTCAACCACGATCGGCACCGGAGGACTTTCCCACTCGTCGGGTGATCGGGCCGTGTCTTCACCAGCCTGCCATAAGCGAGGTCAGGAAACTTTCTCTTCGGTCACGACCAAGAGCCGGAGCTCCTGCTCAACGGGTGGTCGTGCGATGTGTTCCGCCTGCCATATATGATCACAGGGCTTCTTCTTCGGCCACGATCAGGGACCGGAGCTCCTGCTCAACGGGTGATCGCGCCCCGATTCACCCGCCTGTCCTGCGAGGACGAGCACTCTTTATCACAGCAAAGTCCCGGGGCGAGTTCTTCCCCCAGTCAGCTGTGCTATGTCTTTAAGGCTGCCACCTTCAATGTCCTGTTCTATACATGCTCTTCACACATATACCACACCCCTAGCAAACACAGCGCATCAGACACCCAGCAAGCCGAGCAAGCAATAGGAGGCGTGCAAATTACCCATAAAGAAAAGAAAGTGAAGTAGGTGCATGTGAGCCCGGCATAATACGACATGACATGACATAACGCGAGTAACTTGTTCCCAAAAGCGTCCGCAGTGTTACCAACCACCAAGCAGGCCCGCAGCGCCATCACACCGTCATGTCGACCAAAGAAGAAAAGAAATATAGAAATATAGATCACCAGCCCGCAAAACAATCCACAAATGACACGAGATATGTGCCCTCCGGATGTTAAGTATATTAAATACACAATAAAAGAGGAGACAGGAATAACAATTCTGAACAATTCAAACGTTTCCAAACATGATTGCAGGAAAATTCCTAAAGGAAGGAAGGAAAAGAAGAGGAATGATACACTGACAGATGCCAGGAATGCAGCCAAAATCAAGCTAAAACAAACTAAAAACAAACGATACAATGGTATCATATGTAAATGCAGATGATCACGCATCCTCGCAAGACATTATCCTTGTGAGCATTTGTGATGGAGCGACAGCTGTGTACCCAACATTAGAGCGATAACAAACGTAATTTATACTACGAGAAAGTGTGAACTATATAAATTTGGTCTAATACAAAGAGTAGCATGTACAACGAAAAATGAAGCAGAATATAGCTAACATAACTATCATAAACCATCATAAGCTATCATAAACTATCATAACGCCCAAGATTATTATACCGCCAACCCATCAATCCATTAACCACTAGAATAGCAATTCATTCTCAATTTCCAAACAAGCGACACAGCAGCATCATGTAAATGCTACCAAATCATACAAATTACATCCCCATCGTGACCCCATTTGTTTATCCATGAAGAACTCAGTACAGAAGTAATAATGAAACAATATCACGATAAAGAAGTTAAGACAATACTGTGTCAGTGCGACAAGAGGGATGATTACATCAAACAATCAATTAGAACTTGAATTCCAGTCGAAATAAACCGCTCCCAGATTTTTGTCAAAACTCAATTGAAATCCATCGCACCCTGCAGTTAATAATAAATAAAATAAAATAGAATAATCACAGTTAAAGTTAAAGACCGCTGGCAAAAGTGGCAACGAGCAACTGCAGCAGTGAGAGGGATAAAATTAGTTGTAGGAGTACAATAGTAAATACTAGAATGCACATGATAAACACACAAACTGCATTGGGCTCCGCTGTATTGAGTAATAGGCAATATAAGCGATGAGTAACCGATAGTCCAACAAGTGCGTGAATAGAAAGTAAATAATCCTTTAGAGCGTAGACATCAATTTCTATCGAAACACAGTCACAGGCGTTACTGTGCTTGCTTACTTTAATCCACTAAACTATGTCCGCACAACATTATGCAGAAAAGAGCAAAGCGTATGTAAATTCATACATGCAGTATGTATAAGATTGAACATAGCGTAATAATGACATATAATTATTTGGTAGCTCAATACAGCAGAAAGCACCGCAGCTCACACACACCAGGAATTAATAAGTAAAACATATAATAATAATAATAATAATAATAATTTGGCAGTACAACAGCCAATTCAATTCAGAGTAATTAATTATATTTCATGTACAGTTATCCACTGACAGATGTCAGAGCAGAAGTAAACAGTCATGCATGACCGATGAGCATGGCAATGAAGGTAACAGACCAAGTGTCGCGAATAATAACCATAGACTATATAAGTCCGCCGTTCAGAATTAATTTCCAAATTATTTCGTAACGAAATAGCAAATCCGCAATGAATGTCAGAGACACCCAGTTGCTTAGAAAAAATACTATATAAAATATTGATATGTCCAATAACAAGGTTACAAGGAAGAGAACATATACCGGCGCGACACCTATCGGGTGATCACACAGGTGTTCCCAGACCATTAATAATGACCGGGAAAATATTCAAATCTTCAAAATACAAAATTAAGTCTCGGATTCAAAATTCAAGATTAAGGCATTAATTTATGCAAATATAGGAGGCCCCGCATCAGCCTCAAATATTACCAATGCACTCATTTACCATGGGACAGTCATTCATACCCTCAAGGGTTAAGATCCAGGCAACAAAATGTATTCTACAGTAGGAAGAGAGAGTATATTGAGAGAGTATATTTGACAGAACACAAGGAGTAACACGTATACCGGTATTGATAGATATAGCTTGCATAAACCATCATAACCCCTAAATTATTGTGTCGCCACCCAGTACTAATGTATTTGAATATTAAGATGATGATTAAATTTCAATTATCAGACAATTAACACACCACAGCGCATCATGTGAGTGCTACTGAGTGATACAGAACACAGCATCATCGCGACCCCATTTACATGTCCCCGAAGGAACTTAATATTGAAAGTACAAGATAATGAAAACAAAAGATTACAGTGACAGAAAACTAAAGGGCCGCACTTTACTAATGCACCAATAAGGAATGAATATATTCAAGCAATCAATAATTGAAGCTAAGGAACTTAAAATCAGAACCATGTAAAGGTCGAATAGATTCCCTAAATTCTGTCAAAGTAAACCGTTCCGAGGTCCCGTCAAGGCTAATTCAGATCCAAACTCCCCGGGCAGATAATAACAAATACTTGGTTGTAGCTCAAATCCATCGCACCCTGCAGTTTATAGTAAATAAAATAAAATAAAATAAAATAAAATAAAATAATCACAGTTAAAGTTAAAGACCGCTGGCAAAAGTGGCAACGAGCAACTGCAGCAGTGAAAGGGATAAAATTAGTTGTAGGAGTACAATAGTAAACACTAGAATGCACATGATAAACACACAAACTGCGTTGGGCTCTGCTGTATTGAGTAATAGGCAATATAAGCGATAAGTAACCGATAGTCAATCAAGAGCTTGAATAGAAAGTAAATAATCCTTTAGAGCGTAGACATCAATTTCTATCAAAACACAGTCACAGGCGTTACTGTGCTTGCTTACTTTAATCCACTAAACTATGTCCGCACAACATTATGCAGAAAAGAGCAAAGCGAATGTAAATTCATACATGCAGTATGTATAAGATTGAACATAGCGTAATAATGACATATAATTATTTGGTAGCTCAATACAGCAGAAAGCACCGCAGCTCACACACACCAGGAATTAATAAGTAAAACATATAATAATAATAATAATAATTTGGCAGTACAACAGCCAATTCAATTCAGAGTAATTAATTATATTTCATGTACAGTTATGCACTGACAGATGTCAGAGCAGAAGTAAACAGTCATGCATGACCGATGAGCATGGCAATGAAGGTAACAGACCAAGTGTCGCGAATAATAACCATAGACTATATAAGTCCGCCGTTCAGAATTAATTTCCAAATTATTTCGTAACGAAATAGCAAATCCGCAATGAATGTCAGAGACACCCAGTTGCTTAGAAAAAATACTATATAAAATATTGATATGTCCAATAACAAGGTTACAAGGAAGAGAACATATACCGGCGCGACACCTATCGGGTGATCACACAGGTGTTCCCAGACCATTAATAATGACCGAGAAAATATTCAAATTTTCAAAATACAAAATTAAGTCTCGGATTCAAAATTCAAGATTAAGGCACTAATTTATGCAAATATAGGAGGCCCCGCATCAGCCTCAAATATTACCAATGCACTCATTTACCATGGGACAGTCATTCATACCCTCAAGGGTTAAGATCCAGGCAACAAAATGTATTCTACAGTAGGAAGAGAGAGTATATTGAGAGAGTATATTTGACAGAACACAAGGAGTAACACGTATACCGGTATTGAAAGATATAGCTTGCATAAACCATCATAACCCCTAAATTATTGTGTCGCCACCCAGTACTAATGTATTTGAATATTAAGATGATGATCAAATTTCAATTATCAGACAATTAACACACCACAGCGCATCATGTGAGTGCTACTGAGTGATACAGAACACAGCATCATCGCGACCCCATTTACATGTCCCCGAAGGAACTTAATATTGAAAGTACAAGATAATGAAAACAAAAGATTACAGTGATAGAAAACTAAAGGGCCGCACTTTTACTAATGCATCAATAAGGAATGAATATATTCAAGCAATCAATAATTGAAGCTGAGGGACTTAAAATCAGAACCATGTAAAGGTCGAATAGATTCCCTGAATTCTGTCAAAGTAAACCGTTCCGAGGTCTCGTCAAGGCTAATTCAGATCCAAACTCCCCGTGCAGATAGTAACAAATACTTGGTTGTAGCTAAAGTTAGGGGTAAAGCACCTGTACCAGAAAGAAAGAAAGAAAGAATAGGAGAGTTAGTTAGGGGAATATAATAGTAAAATTAGAACAAACTCAAGTCGTGTTGGGCTCCGCTGTATTGAGTAAGAGCTAATATTGGCGATAAGTAGCCCATAATCCAGCAATCCAGCAAGAGTGTCAAAAGAAAGCAATTAATCCTTTAGAGCGTAAACATCAATTTCTATCAAAATATAATCACAAGCGTTACTGTGCTTGCCCGCTTTATACCATTAAACTATGTCCCTACCACACTGTGCAAATGAACAAAGCAAAGTTTAACGTGTGGTATGTATCAGATTAATCACAGTATAATAATGGCACATAAGTCATCCGGTAACACAATACAGCAGAAAGCGCCGCGGCTCGCACACACCAGGGATTAATAAATAAGATATATAATAATTAATAATTTAATAATCATCAATTAATAATCAATACAACAGCCAATTTAGTTCAGAGCACTTATATTTCGTGTACAATCAAGCACCTGACTGATGCCAGAGCAGAAGAAAACAGACATACATAACCGATGAGTATAGCAACGAAGATAGGAGACCGAGTTGAGGCTAACAGTAATGACCGTAAATGTATAAATTCTTTGTTTAAAATTAATTCGCAAATTACTTCGTAGCACGATAAATGTCGGGAAATTGCTCAGAAGGAACAGACACCCAAAAGTATGCCTTGAGCGGGAGACAGAAAAACCGGACTGAGTAAAGCAGCAAGAACGAGACCCTAAATCATAAAATATACAGATATAGAACCTAGTGTTTATAAAATTCATAAAATTCCCTAGTTCACTCAATAATGGTTGTCAACCGCCAAAACAACCATAAGAGCATCGGATTAAGTAATTATACAGAATATAAGTGCTCATGACGAGATGAATAAACAAAGTAGTTCCAACAAATTAATTAAAGACCAAATCCAAAACCCAGAAATCAATACCAAAATAATGTACCTACAAAGGATGACCATAAGCCACAAGCTACACCTAGTTGGTAATCAACTGTAGCACCACAAAAGGTATTACCAGCAGCAAATATTCCATTTAATTCCATTTATCATACAATGATATTCGGCCATCCACACCGTAACGGCTATTCACAGTCAGATCATCTGCCGCGTAGTAGTTACCCCCCCACGCGCCAGTGGTCCGTTACATCCGTCACACAGTTACCATCAGACTTACCATTAAAGATAAGTCTGGTATACAATACTATAAATGAAAAGTTAATTATGCTAAATCAAAGGGATCAGATAAACTTCCA